TCTCTCTCTCTCTCTCTCTCTCTCTCTCTCTCTCTCTCTCTCTCTTTCTCTCACACACACACATACTCTCATACTCTAATTCTATCATTTACTTTCTCTCACTTTATACAGTATATCCTTTTTTTGTTAGTACTTTTCTGCAAAATCATCCCATTTCACTTAACAAAAGTTCATTGCGCTTATTTTCTTTTTATGAGAGTTTAAAGAGCAGCACTGGTATCATCGATAAAAATCATCTGATCTGATATACAGTATATACATATATATGTGTATAATAATGTATATGTGTATATATATATTCATATGGTGATACCAGAACAGCTCCTCGCCTTTTTAAATATTCTAAAAACTCCGAAGGAGTATAAGTCTATGTACACACAGGGCCCGATACCACCGCACTCATCACACTAGAAAATCAGGGTCACTATAATCCTCCCCGCTCTCGCTACTATCGGAGATTCTTCTCCTCTTCTTCTTCTTGTGTTTCTTCACTTTTTCCGTCTTGTGCGCGCGATGCTTACGATGTTCCTTCATGTCAGGATTCGTCGGGTGTATGGTAAGTTTGGGTACACGTGGAGACGTCGGAGTCGATGTCAATGTCGAGTTCATTGAATTGTTCGAGTGCTCGATAGATGAATTCAGCGTCGCATTTGGATGATATTGAGCATTTACCAAAGAATTGCTCGTCACTGCACCATCGGTCAGTTTATTATCACCCTCGAGATTGGGAATCCTCGATGATTGGTTATTATCAGTGTTACATTGTTTCCCACTAGTATCACCGTCCTCACCTTCGTCTGGCTCTTCAGGATCATACTTCAACATTAATTGTTTAAAGTCCAAATACTCTTTCACTAATTTTTTCCTACCCTCGGTGTCAAGTTCCGCAGTATTTACACCTTCCTTCAGCCTCTGTAACGTCGCCTTGGGTTTGAATAGGAGATTATTTTTACGATTCACGGCTTTCTCGTAAATCTTGGCCCCTTCAGATGGCGAATATTGACCAATTTTTGCATCGGAGAAACCATAAAGATCTTTTAGATGTTGTCTCAATGTAAGTAGCAAGAGGAAACCTTGACTGGCTGTAATGTACTCTCGAAGCAAAGTCGTATCGCTTGGTAATCTTCCTAGAATCGTTTCCTCGTCTTCCTCGTCGTCTTCCTCGTCTACCAAAGATAAGATGTTTTCTGTACGAGGCTGTTCGCTCGACCCTACTATTCCTACCGGCTGCATAAGTGGTTGCATAGGTGATTGCATAGGTGGTTGCATAGGTGGTTGCATAGGTGGTTGCATAAGTGGTTGCATAGGTGGTTGCATAGGTGGTTGCATAGGTGGTTGCATAGGTGGTTGCATAAGTGGTTGCATAGGTGGTTGCATAGGTGGTTGCATAGGTAGTTGCATAGGCGGTTGAATCAATTGCTGATCTCGGTGTTCTTGTATCAGCATATGCTGCTGCTGCTGCTGTTGCAGTTGTTGCTGTTGCAAATGCAGTTGATGTTGCTGTTGCAGTTGCAGTTGCTGTAACTGCTGTTGCAGCTGCTGCTCTTGTTGCAAATGCTGCTCCTGCTGTATCTGTTGTTGATGTTGTTGTTGAAATTGCTGCTGCTGCTGATTGTGATGATGATGGTGATGATGGTGATGGTGATGCGACGTCGATTGATTACTTCCTTCCTTAGGCAGCAAGGCTTCTCTAAAAGACTGCAGCAAGTTTGTACCTGACATCGATATGATAATATCGATATGGTGGATGATAAATAGCGGCTCATCTTGTACCTGATATGTGAAATAAGCAAGATTATCAGCCAAGTACAACATTTGAGATAAACTTGTTTTGGCGCATTCATCGAATTGTTTTAAAAACGACAAAACAATCGCCCTTCTCTGTTGTTTCGTATTTCTTAAGATAGTATATAGAAAACCATTGAGTGCACCAGGAAATTCGCCCTCTTTAATTCGCATACCTCTTACATTGTTGTCATTCTGTAATATCTTCTGTAATCGAAAACTTAGTTTAATACCAATCTGTGACTTCATATGAATGAAGCCAGGGTACTTCTTCTCGATATCCTGCAGCTGTTTGTCTGCACTGTGACTTACAACTTTTTCGCAATCCGTGCTCATGCAAATCAAGTAAGGTACTATTTGCACAGGATGCACCAAACCTTGAGTCAAGATCAATTGTATTACTTTGAGGGCAGCATGTCTAATGCTTATGTTAACATGTAAGAAAGATTCCAATATTTGTTTGATATAGAGCTGTATCACGGTACTAGCCCTTCCCGACGAAACATCTCCCATTTCTTTCAAGTTCTCTTGTTTTGACATCTTCGACCATTCCAAGTCCTGCTTTATCATTCTCTTTTCTTCCTCCTGAAGATATATCTCGATGTTATTTAAAACTTGAATTCTCATGTGAACCAAAGCATTCTCAGATGTAAGAAAATGATGATAAAGCTCCTTCAATTCAGGAACCATCATGAATTCATAATGGCGTATACAAAGAGAACCAATAGCAGATAATGTGAAATGACGTATATCGTCATTATCTTGATGGACGAAATAATTTAATGTTTCAAATACTTGATCCTTTATGTTGTCTGCCAAACCCTCGATGACCTCCGGATCAGTAAAATTAAAATGCCTTAGTAGCAAACCGACTGTGAATAATGCTCTTCTGAAAAATGGTCTATACTTCAATAACATTGGATTAGATGGATCTTTCTCAAATAGCGATTTGTACTCCGTTAAATGGCCATAGTATTTCTTAAAACAATCTCGTATTAATTTAAAGTTCCTCGTAACGTTGTTCACTATAGAACCTAAACACGACAAACAACTCGCTACGACCGATCTATCGTGTTGTAGAATTAATTTAACCGAATCCTCTTCTAACTGTGCTAAGAATGTTTCACTTGGATGTTCCATCAATGGTACTACTAACTCGAGAGTGTGCGCAACGCTACTTATTATTTGATAATCTCCTTGTGTTTGACATTTCAAATTTAGATAAGGCTGTAAAGTCATTGCATAATTAACCAAAAGTTGCGGTCGGATCTTCGCAAATAGATACAACGTAGTTAAACAAGCGACTAGTCGCTGTGAAGATCCTTTTTTCTCTGATTTACCCACTTCTCCTAGATTAGTTTCTTCTAACCTGAGAACATTTTCTATCAAACAATCGACGATCTGTCTGCATGCCGTCAACAATGCCTTAGGTGGTTCAGTTTGCATTTTTGTACTATCGTCTTTATCTTCCTTTGGTTTAAACAAACTAACCAGCAGTTGCTCAAACCATTCCAAACCCATATCTTTGCTAGCGGCCACAACATCGGTTATATTCATGACTTTTCTCAATAATGATTCAGAATCAAGAGTGGGTCGTTCTCTTACAGGAGTAAACCACATATTTTGAAAAACTTCCATAACTAATTTCCTTATTCCTTCTTCATCATTCACTCTTCTGATCATCTTAACACAAATTTCCGGGATTTTAGGAAAATCTGGGCACTCCATACAAATGTCTTTCAAGATCTTAATTACACGTTTTCTAACACTGACACCTGTATCCAATATTCTTGCTAGCAACATATCATAATATTTGTCTATTAACTCTGGTCTACTCAATACAAATTTTCCTACTAAATCGACAGCTGCTTCTCGTACAGATGTAGAATGATCGAGAAACGAATGTTTCACTCCTAGCTGCATATCAACTCTAGCAAGTACACTTGGATCAGCTTCGACGATCATAGTTAAACATTTCATAGCTTTTGTTCTAATTGCAATAGATGATTCTGTTAATACATGAAGTATTTGTTTGAGATAACGATCGAAACTCTGGGAAAATGGTCTTTTTGATGCAAGATACTGAGATATGAGTTCAGCCGAATTGTAATCAATATAGGTTTGTAAAACGTCCGGTTTATTTCCTGTACTGTACGGTCTAATTTTGGTAATAATATATTTCTTTTTTTCTTCTATAAGCCTATAAGCTTCCGAATTTTTCTGCTCATTATTGTCGTTTTCATCCGCATCCTGATCTTCAGCTTCAGAATCGCTTTCCTGATCGCTGCTATGATGTTTGTTCTTTTTCTTAGCTCTCTTCTTATGTGTCTTCTTAGTTGGACTATTCTTTGATTGTCCTACGCGAGATTTTTCTACTGCACAGTCTCTGTACCATTGAGCCAAATAAAAGTGACGAGCACATACCAAAGCTGAATCCTTTGTTCCGTTAACAGCCAAATAATCTAAAAGTACTTTTTGTAAAAAGACCATCCTTTCTTCATCCTCGCTCAATCCTACGATTTCCTTGTCTTTCACATGATCATAATCTGCATCCTTTTGTTGTTCTAATTTAATGTCCCTTATGATCTGATCAATGGTTGACAATTTACATTGAGAACTGACTGCATCTTTTCTTAATCTAGCTGCAACTACTCCAAGATAATCAATAGAAGCAACTCTAAGCGACATATCCGAACCTTTGTTCGAAAAATGTCCGACCAATAAATTTCCAAGTAAACTCAGAAGTAATTCCGCAGCAGGCCATTCAGGCTTATTCACTGTAGCTAATAAATCCTGTACAAAATTCTCAAATAATGGCCTATAATCAATTTCTTCTCCTTTACTTCCACATTTGTTAAGGAAAACAGTTAAAAAATTACCAGCTATTCTAGTCGCTGTCTCGTACTTATTTATAATTAGAACATCAGCATCAATGAAACTAATCTTTTTCTCTTCTTTTTTTTCTTCTTTCTTCTCTTCCTTCTTCTCATCTTCTTCCTTTACAGATCCTTTTGATTGTGGTACAACATTGTCCGAGAGCACCACGACGCATTGAATAAGCTGCAATACTAATGCAGTTAACATTTGAATGTGATCTTCTGAATTTAGCCTATATGTGCGCAAACTTCTTTTGCTACTAGGAAGTCTCGCTATTGATGCCAAAATGTCATCTAACAATAATCTTCTATGCTTTTCATATTTGGTAAATATTACAGTGACAAGTTTTAAAGCGCTTAATTGAAGATCGCTAACAGACTCAACAAAAAATGGTGCTACACCTAATGTTGATGCATGAAGAACACTGGTATCCGTTAACATTTGAATATTTAATAATTCGGCGAGGAGACCAACCAATTCATGCATTTTATTATAAACTTGAAGTATACTCTTTTCCCGAACTTCCTTCATATGGCCCCTTTTTTTACGTCCACTAGAATTATAATTGTCAGTCTTGTTTTTTGTGTCTATTTTATAAACAGGGTCAAATGAAGGATAGATAGTGTTTTGCAATTGAAATTTCATGAAAAGAACTACTCTGTCAATTACATCTTCCAGATAAACTGTCTTCGGCATATTATTTGATGTCATAATATGTAAGGATATCAAAGAAGCATCTACGGCACGTTGTACCCTTTCCATAGCCAACTGCATCCATAACCTGCTTTCTTCAACATCGTCGTCAGGATCTGCTAAGGGAGATACTCGTGCTCCATCACGAATGTTTTTCTCTAATATGTTTAGTAATCTAACCAATCTATCTGCAGGGATAGACTCCATTGCTCCTAAGGCTTTCAATTTAGCCGCTTCGGTACATAAATCATGTAATTGATATTTAGGAATAAGTAATTCTGGAGGCACATCACCATCTTCATCCAACTCTGCATTAGTTGCAATATCTTCTGTATTTTCAAAAATTGTTTCCATGTTTGAGTTAAATCGTTGATACGTATTAGTTTCCATTAATTCTTCTACACTTAATTTAGACAGAACTGGAACTAGCTTTTTCTCAACCTTTCTTATTTTAGCTTTTGAAGGAGAGTATATTCCTTCCTTCTTTTCATCCTCTTCATCGTCGTCCAATATTCTTCTTCTCCTACGAATTTTATCTTCGCTTTTTTTCCTTTCCGCTCTTTCTTTTTCTTTTTGAACTTGACGTTCCTTTGCACGTGCTTTAAAATATTTATTGTGTTTACCTATTTCTTCTTCACTTTCAGATTCACTTTTCACCTCATCACGATTGGTTATTCCCATCCTTGCTGCACGATTAGGAGATTTCTCAGCAAATGCAGCTAAGCTTTTCTGCATAAGAGCCTGATCTTCTACAGACAATCTATTCAACATAACAACAGGTTCTTTCATTTTATCTGTGGGCATAGTGGGCATTTTTAACATTTTGTCTGAATTGTTGTTTTGTTGATGCTGCATTGGTATAATATTAGTAGGATCTAAAGTATTAACAACATTAACACCATGAAGATTTGGATATGACGTGGTCTGCGAGCCTGACAATAGATTTTGTGCCACATTATCTATGCTTGGTTTTGTTTGAATATTCTCTATTGGTAAATCTATGTCAGGAAGGCCAGTAACTGGATCTAGTAGAAACTGTTGATTAGCTTGAACACTGCTATTAATATCCATATGCTCGTTACTTTGCAACGAATGATGTACTTGTTGATTTATCGCAGGATCATAGACATTCTGTTGCATGTTCATAGGTTGCTGTTGCTGTTGAATAGGGATGTTTGCACGCATTGGAGAAGTCATGTGCATATTATGTTGCGGCGTCATACCCGCCATGTTATGGTGTTGAGGCGTTACGTTACCCACAGACGACAAAGGTGTATTAGGTGAGCTCATATGAGCTGGAGAATACATATTTGGTTGAGGAGCTATATTCGACAGAGGATTTGTACAATTGGAGTCATCCTGTACATGCTGCGGCGTAGTAGATGTCCTCGTTTGTTCCGTCATAACATTTCCTCTAGGAGATGGAGAAGGCACGGCAAAAGGAGACATTTGTGAAATATCTGCATGATTTTGAAGTGTAACTGGCATTCGTGGATGCTGCGCATGTGAAATACCGCTAGGTGGTGGGAGTACGGTTCTAGCTGCAGCAGGATGAGCAGGACTACCTTGTGGCGTTTGCCTGGACCCTGAAGAATTGGAGTAAGATGGTGAGAAGCGGCCATAATTTGCTGGTGATTGATTAGAATGCATCTGCTGAGTACCCTGAGACCAATTTCTTGGAGAATTATACTGAGGTCCTTTGAACACGTGTGGATTTAACTGTAGAATGGCTTTCAACAATTCCGGCGTATTCTGCTCTGATTCCAAGGGTTGTTCAGTATTAGCATAATTATCCTTCAATTCTATATGTTCCGACGAGGTTTGTGACAAAGAGCATATCAGTTGGGGTACTAAATTTTCATCTCGTACGCTTAACAATATTTGTGCTTCTTCTGCCACTCTTGGATGAAACAGGAGAGACTTGTTTGTCAGAGTTTGAGGCAGCGGCGTTGGTAGGGGCATTTCAGGTAACAAGTCAGTAAGACTGGCGATACCAGCGAGGGTAGTAATTGGTACACTCGGAATAACCCCATTCATTTTGAATTTGATTTGTTCTGGCATTACAGCCTGGACAAAAAATAGATTCAAAATCAATTCCAGTGTTTCTGTCTTTTCCCTCTGGTTTCATAGAACAATCCAATATATGAAGCACTGCACTAACATTGTATAAAAGTTCTACTCACAATATAATATAGATGTAAGAAACAGAATATATTTAAATGCAGCACTTTTGCCACATATACCCAAACTAATCATCGCTGTTATTTTTGTACTTGCATTTCCTAAACTTTTCAACACATTCAACATTAAACGGAATAGTATCTAACAACTCTTGTCAGAGAACACTAACACTAAAGTTATATCGGGAACTTAACAAAGTCTCTTTTAAGTTCCCATGTTGTAAAATAAAATTTCAACCAAACTTTGACGAAGCACGTGGGTCCTCCAATAATCGATCCATGTTTAGCAATTTTTTGTCCTATAACAGAAAATTTTATTTAATTTAAGTCACCATGCAGGAAATATTCAATATTAATAATATAATTATCATTTTATCATTTGGAATAAAAAAGAAAAAAGCATTTGTAGTTTGTGTTATATAAATCTTAATAAATTATACATGACATTAAAAAAGAAAAATAATAATAATAAATTAATAATTAAATTATCGTTTTGCGTACATTTCATAATTATGATCAATGGTATATGCATTTCATTAATTTTTCAAAATAAAACTACAAAATGTGATTTTTAAATACAACAACAAATAATTAAAAATTAATAAAAATATAAAATAATAACAAAAGTGTGTTTTATAATTTTTATCTGAATTGTAATTAATACAAATATCACCAATTTCTAAACAAATTTGTTTATGCTCAAAGTTTTGTAAGCGAAAAAAATGAGTCTGCGACATGGCACGTCACTAAAATTAAAAATAATTTCAAAATTAATTAAATCAATTAAATCAATTAAATTAACATTATAATAACATATTATATTAGTTTAAACAAATTTATAAAAAGTAATAAAAAATATTAAAAACAAGTAAAAGTAAGCGAAGAAAAAATAAACTAAAACCTGACATATATGATGTTGATCGAGAACAATAGCACGGATATCAATAATTGATATTATCCATGGTAATATGCACTAGCCTTATTAATAAAAATATTTAGCTAATCATAATAATATTAATTATAAATATTAATGAAAAATAATATCAGCATATTAGGGTACTATCTAAGTAATTACCTTTCTTCGTTGAAAGTCTACCATCCAACATCACACATATGAAAACATTAGCACTGGATGATGTTTAGACAAGAGAATTATCCAAAAGAACACTCGAGAATCTGCTAAATAACAGAATAAAATATATCAATGATGATATAAAAATTCATAGACGATTGGCTATGCCTATAAAAACAAAGTTGGAGGTATAAGGAGGTTCGGTGGTATCAATTGCCTTACCCCAAGCAATCGAGACGATTATTTATGACATCAAATGTACTATGCGTAATATAATTTTGGCGGGCAGAGTGTGCACATTAGCTAGAGCATCAATTTCCGATCGTAAATAGAGTTTTAATCGTTTATAGCGCGTTCTCCAAATAATTGGGTTTGACCGTGTCAAGCCTTTTAGCAAAAAACTTTTCCCCGTAGACGATATCCACTCAATTGTCAATCCGTGGTTGTGGCCTACTTGGATGGTCGCGTTTTTAAACCGATCACGAATATAAGCACCCAACTGAATATCACCTCACGAATTTCACTTGCATATTACACGGTACCGCGTAAACATCGCCATGTCAAATCTGGTGCATCGCGGGGAAACAGTATTTATAGTGCGAATACGAAGAAAACAGACACAAAGGCGTCCATTTTCCTCAAGCGAGTTAGCGGAAGTTGCGTAGTAGATATAGCCGAGATACAGGTATACCGGCGCTTACGGCGTCGCGTTTCAAATCTTACCGAACTGTTTGCATGTGAGCGATCTATCACTTTATATCGATACTTCTTTAACCTATTAAATATATCAGTCAAAAAAACTTAACTAAATGATTCCCTAATTCTAATTCTAAATTCTATTTTTAATTCGTCATTACTTTTTAAGAACTGTTAAAGTTTCCAAAGAATGGCGGAAAAATTTGAATTTTTCGAGATAACTATATTGCTTCTAATATATCATTGAAATATTTACGATTTCATTGTTTTATTCCATTTAATATTTTACTTCATGTAATATTTATTTATATTTATAGCTTTTTTTATTTATTTAATATTTTCACTTTATCACTAGTATACTCGTTCGATATTAACCAATCATAATTCTAGATTACGTGTTTATACTGATCACTCATCATAAATTCAGATAATTTCATTTAGAAATAAACCCTCTAGAGTGCGGGGTTGTCGCAACAACAGGAAATATGTAGGGTACAGGAGTGTAACAATACTATTTTTTCTTTCTCTCCTACGAGTTTAGACCCCTGATCAGGCAGATAAATTGTACCGCGATATTACGCTCCGTATGATTTCTGACAACTGACAAAATTAAATGATTATTTCCGATGCGGTGCAATATGTAATTTTGATGTTTAATAAGACAAAGCAGAGATGCAAGACATTTGTGAAAATATTCGTACTGCTATTGAACATGGACGTACTGATATTATCAGATCCATTTTAGAAGCATGTAAGCATCACCAAATTATAATACCCAATTTATTTCAACACTGTCAAATAATTTAGCAAAAACATGTTCCTTTTAATAGGCTATTTTTACCGATTAATTTAAATGTTAATTTGATTTTTATGTTAACTCGTTATATGTAGGTGAAAATGGTTCTATGGCTGAAGGAATAACAAAAGACAAAATATTGAATCAACCTCTCCTAGAAGAAGGAACTTTTTTATCATATGCATCCAAGGTATTCAGAAAAAGTTATGCGACTTTCTTCGACTAGTATTTTCTTCATCAATATTCTTTATAATTACTTTAATATATTAGACAAACCAAGCGGATATCGTAAGGACTTTGTTGAACTGCGGAGCCGATCCAGCGATACAAAATGCAAATGGACATAATGCTGTTGATTTAGCATCTAGCGAAATAATACGTCGTATTTATATTGAGGAATTGTTAAGAGCGACTGCTGCTTCTGAGTAGGTTTCTTTTTCATAGTTACTAAAAAAACAAATCAAAAAAGAAATTAAACTTATATTAGTAAAGAATTGATGAAAAATATTTACTGTATGTATTAATGTAATATTACTTACAGAATAGAGAAAGTAATACAATTACTAGACGCAGGTATACACATAAATTCCTGGGATTCGCAAGGTAGTAAAAATACTCCGCTTCACTGGGCAGTTTGTTATGGAAATAAAGATGTTATTACCTGCTTGATTGGTAAAATTAGTTATACTTAATGACTTCTATCTTAATTATAATACAAAACACTGATAAAGTAAAAATGCAGCTTTCCATTTACAGACCGAGGTGCAGATATAAATGCAGAGAATGGATGGGGTGCTACGCCATTGCATGATGCAGTAAGTCGTGGTGATTTACCTATATGTCATGAGTTATTACAAGCTGGAGCGAATCCTCTTATAAGAGCTGTGAAAGGGTAAAAATCTTATTATAATATCGCATATTTTGACATTTTATATATATAATGTTAATAAATATTTTTGTAGAACATTTGCAGGAAAGACACCGTATGATCTTTCTCGTGGAAAACAGAGCTTGCACAGTCTTTTTCAAAAATTTGTATCCAATTTTACATCTAATGACAATGAAGCTATGCATAGTCCAATTGCATTGTTTTCGGAAGGAAATTTTGGTCAAAAAAGTATTTCGAGCAATATGAGCCAATTATCTATTGAATCCAGTAAATCTTCTGAGCCAGTATATGATATACCATTACAAGAGTCGGGAAAAGATAGTCCTAACAAAACTTCTACTGAAAAAGAAGGGATTTATAATTTACTCTGGCCACGACCAAAAACTATTTGCGAATTAAAAAATTTTTCACCTCCATTTATTATCGGCAAAGAACTTTTTATATCCATTATACAGGTATCTAAATATATTAAAATACTTATTAATAATTTTATCATACTAATTTTACATGTTTTTTATTATAGGGCAGCGAATCCATACACAGAATATTAGATGTTTGGGAAGTTAGTAGAACGCATTTACTGGAGTTGGGTCATGATGTAAAAGTAGGTGAAGTTCAACCAAGTTCTGGAAAATTATGTAATGAGAACAAAATAGAATGTATAGTGAACAAGAATTTGTTCAATGTTTCTCATGGCTATCAATTACATATTTCTCAAAACTCGATTAAAGTATGCGCTGGAAGTTTACCTGGATTGCATTATGCAGTATGCACATTTGTGCAAATATTACGTTTAAGTAAAAAAGATAGTACATCTGAAACATGCGAAATAGAACCTGTTCTTATAAAAGATGAACCAAGATTCATACACCGTGGAATACTGTTAGATATTTCACCAAGAGGTCGCATACCTACATTAGAATATTTGTTACACATGGTTGACTTATGGTCATCATTAAAAATATCTCATCTACATCTTTACTCTAGACTAACATCAACTTGCGACTGGCAACTTTGTTATACTAAATCTGAAATGGTTACGATTGATAGATACTGCAGGTATATTTTATATATTTTTGATATATTGTTGCATCGATATAAAATTTGTCTTCTTTTTTACAGAGATCGTCATTTAGACTTAGTACCCACATTGGATGTTGATTCCAATCTAGGACAACATCATCTCATACAAATGTGGCCTGTTTTTCAAGAATTACTTGCAGTTTTTCCTAGTCTTAGTTATGTACATGTTGGACCAAGGTTGGCTAGTTTATTAGTTCAGCCTGAAAACTTAGATCAGAGTTCGTCTGTAAATGAAACAATAGAAACAGATATGTCGGAGGTATATAAATCGTATTCGTGCCTTCAGGAATTATGGCACATGCTGAATTTGAATTCGAGTACAACTTTACTACTTTGTTCCAATGGACTACATTCCAAATTAGAATTTAATTACATTCCTTCAAATATTATTCTCGTTGAATACGGATTTCAGGTATAATAAATATGTGAATTTTTATAAAATGTCATAAATAATTGAAAATTAAAAGAATATATGTTATATGTTTATAATATTACAGGCCGATTATGATTTTTCTGAATGGACAGAAGCATTTAGAATAGCAGGAGGTAATATTTTGTCGAGTTCAGGGACAGCAAGTTACAATAGCTTGGCAGGATGTCCAGCATCGACATATATAAACACAAAAAATGCAATCAAAGCTGCTCTTGAACAAGATTCTATTGGTATAGTGGTTGCTCATTGGTCCGGAAGTCATCATCTAACTCCTCACCCATTTGCTTGGATTGGATATTTGATAGCAGCGGGACTTTCTTGGAATCCAAGCACAGATATAGATATAGGAATTGAAGATAATTATGACGTGCCTGAAGTATTTGGATTAATTAGGTATTATTTTATTTTATTTCACTCTGTATATATATATAGTAGGTGATCGGTTAACAAACAATTTGGGTAGCGAACATTATGTTTAAATGGATTATGTTTGTTAACCGATTGTCCATTATACATATATTTTTTGTTATTAAATAAAATATTAACTCTTCTGTATTCTATTATAGGCAAAAGCATATTACAAAATTACTAGATATTCACATTTTTCAAGATTCAGAATATAAAATCGGAAGTGCAATTTTAGAATTAGGCAGATTAGATACGTTAGTATTGACATTAAGTAAAAATCAATCAGCTAAAGATTTGCAGCAAATACCTGACAATCGTGGATCTACATTATACAGATTATTGACAGATCCTGATAATGTCAATTTGGAAAACCTACCGGCTGATCTATTTGCTGTAAGTTTACATCTTTACTCTTAAAAAAATATTAATTTTTTAATTGTATATATTATATATCAAACTAATGAACGATCTTTTATCTTTAACAGAAAATGACAAAACAGATCAAACGTATCTCTCATTCATTGTACGAAGGAAATTTATCTTCTAAATTTGCATCCATGGAAATTCAGGAACTTCAATTAACGGCTGATTTGATGCTGACTGCTTGTAGAATTGGTAGAACATTGAGCGTCGCTGGTATTAATCCTAATAGTAACATGGGTCTTGCAATTATCAATTTAGGAGTATACAATTTACCACCGACATTTAGAACTGACATAGCTAATAAAATGTTAGCTCATATAGAACAGTATAAAGGTTCTTGGTTACAAAGGCATTTACCTCAAGGCCTTCAAAGCTCATTATTAGCATTAACTAGTGCTTTACATAGATTTGTACCAGAAACATAATTTATTAAAAATTGAAAGAAAAAACATTTGCTGTTTACTTATAAGATGTATGTGTTACGAAGTTCCTCTTATAGAAGACTGTAGTAAATATTTACAAGATAAAATTAAGTTGAATATGAAAGAAATGTAGTTACAATACTAACATCTACAAAAGAAAATAAGATTCACTTACTACAGTAAACTTAAAATATAGTAAAATGCATCATTAAAAGTTTATATTAAACATTTTCAAACGTTAATAAATAAGTTATTAAGATTTGATGTATATATATATGCATTGGTCATACTGCAAGAAAAAAAACATATATTTAATTAAATATAAACATATTTACTAATAACTTGAGTTTCCTTTGATGATATCTGATTACTAATAAATATTAACAATATATAAAAAGTAACTTAATATAACTAATACAAAATTAATAATATAAATATTTTTAAATATTTTTTTAATTATCATACTTATTCACTCTACACACAACTACTGTGCTCAAGAACAATAATAAAAGATTGAATCTAAAAAAGGTAAGTGATTAAATTATTAGCTAAAATTATGAATGCATTTATAAGTCTTAACTTTATGACTTGATGTGCTATGTTTAAGAAAAAAAGAAAAATACGAGCAAAATCTCTAAAATACTATTTCAATACAATTCTTTCTACTTATTTATAAAATTATGAGGATAAAAAAGATATAAATATAACACAATACATCAAATTATTCTTATATATAAATTTGTATTTCTTCGGTTAGAAAAAAGATACTAGAAACTAGCACGCTTAATCTTTTGTCAAATTGGGAACGTTAATTAAATTATTTCTGTTCTGATTGTTCCATCCGCCCATTTCTAAATCGTTATTATGAATCATTTCATTTTGTAAAGCTTGCAATCTATGAAATTCATCGATTTCAAATTGATATTTAGGCGTTGTAATACCAAAAAAATTGGCCAACCATTCACCAAGATAATCACAACCATCCAATAATTTTGTACCGATGAATGTTGTTTGATGCCAAGTCCAAGGTATCCAATTAAGTGCATGCTACGAATCAACGTATTTATTTTTATTGAAAAATAAAAAAAATAAATAAATAATTATAAATTATGTATTTTTAGTTACCGGATCAATTTCAGCTACAATTTTAGTTGCTTGCGACCTATCTACCTCATCTTCCGATGAATATTCTTCTAAATCCCCGTCAGAAAAATGCAACACACGTTTAGGACGTTTCTTCGCAATGGTTTCGCACTAAAATTCACGCGTTTTTAAATATTATAACCTAACACTATCAAAATTCGCGGAAGATACATCAAAGCATATATACTTGCGTATCCAATACATTTTCCTGCAAGACCACGTCATTTAAATCACTTTCCTTGTTTTCTTCGTTAGCCATAGTTTGACACACATTACACAGTGTTTCAAATGTCATTCTTAGTCATGAGCAAAACACAACCTTGTATGCATGTATATGTATGCTATATGCATTTTTTGCGCATGCGTAAAAGTAAATAATGCGCATGCGTAAAAGTAGACAATAGGCATGCGTAAAAGTAGACAATAGGCATGCATAAAAGTATATAATGCGCATACTTTCTAAACATTTATATATAGCAATTTAAATGAACTATATGGGTTACAAAGTACCCTACCTTAATCGTATATAGTAATTATTTTTAACTTTATTATATCAATATAATAATATTTCATAGAAATGTTAGAACAATTAACGGAACAATTAATAGATGATAATATCAATATTATGCATGTCATTTTTAAACACAGATTTAAAAAGCGTGTTAAACCTGTATACTAAGCTTCTTTTTTTTTTTATTTTTTTTTTTTTTAGTTGCAACTTGATCTTCTTTAATGAGTAACAAGTTTACTGTCAACTAGTGTCTACTTTCCATTATCATTTTACTTTCTACGCTACTTCTCAATGTAACTTTCGTCTATATTATATTTTTTGCATTCACAAATATCTAATACGCTCCAAGAAAGAAAGTCATCAGTGAAAGACAATTACATCCAATCCGGTTATTTCTATTTATTCTACAAATTATATATTTATCTATAAATCTAGAAATTGTTTTCGATAAATGTCTTTTGTTTTATAATTCATCGTACATTTAAGAAACAAAGATAGAGAAATAAAAAGAAAGATAAAGAGATAACATCGAAGTCACATATCGATTTCGTTTTTTATGTAGTATCGAAAGGTAGTAAAAAGCGGCCTATTCAAATTGACTTGATCAAATTTCAGCGAGCACGCGCTTAAATGGATACGTGCTTGCATGCACATAAAGTAGAAAGTATTTGAAGGAAAATCAACGAATATATGCATATATTTATATTGTGTGGAAGAAGTAAAAGTTAGGTAAAGAACAAATACATTTTATTGTTTAAATAAAAAGCTATAGTTTTAAGAAAATATATTGAGAGAAAAAGTATTAAATGTAGTAGCAATTATACTACTGACCTATTGTAGATAACTAGAACTAGTAAAAGTGAAGAATTAAAGCAAGTTGACTTTTTCTCTCTATGCTCTGTATGGTCAACCAGACCTATTCAGTGTCCCATCAATATGTGTACTTCAAGATCGCTTTTACCTTTCCGTAAGCAAGGAGGGACATTTCTCAAGAGGTATAAAATAGTAAGCGGCAGATTTGTGCATCAGTGTGTGCAGTTCTTTCTTAGTTAACAACTATATAGCTTTCAAAGTTTGGTTTTAATTCTGTAACTAATTCTTATCAAGATGAGAAGAACTAAATTTGTAAGTAAACTAATTAATATCAATAAGTATTAAATATTTATATTTTTCTTCGATAAGATAAGCAAAATGTATTATTTTTGTAGTATAGAATATTTGTGTGTTCCATCATTATGGCTCACGCATCAGCATCCACTGGCAGTGCGTATTTATTTTTTATTAATCATATTACTTTATCGATCTAATGTTAATAATCAATTAACTTAACTAATAATCTCTACAGATTACTATTCTAAACCAAACGATAGATTTGAGCCAAGCAAACAAATCTTCAATGAAAGATTTATGCCTGAAGATAGCATAAATAAAAAAAATATTAATAATTATAACACAGAAAATCAAGAAAGAGATTACGCTTTTGGTGGGAAAATAAATCAAGCGAATTTTGAAGTCAGTAATTTACCTTTACATAGTTATTCTACAAATAATGGATTACCAGGATACATAGATCCTAATTATGAAAATTATAATAATAATTTTAATTTTGCAAAAGAACAATTGCCTTATCATTTTGGGAAATATTCTGTTAATAATAGCAACCAAGAGTCTGATTTTGGAAAGTACAGGCATTTTGATTCGTCTCAATTTTCAAACGACCATCAACATGAAGGATCTTTTCATACCGAATTTATATCTGGAAACTATCCTGCTAAAGTTCCATTGTCATTTCCTCCTGTAGGATACGAACAAGATTCCGATACGTCTATGATAGATGACACGTACATCAATAATGACAATCACCAATTCTATGGAAAGCAAAGGGGCAATAACTTTAATTTCAAAGGAAATTATAATTATGGAGATGATACATTAAAAATATTTTCATCTGATATATTTAATATGCAAGAAAATCAAAAGATCAAAGATCAAATTCAAAGTTTAAATCAAAATCATGGCCAAGCTTTTGACGACTTATCAAGCTCTGTATCAAACAATTATAATTCTAACGTACAAGGCAAAGATGCTAATTTTCAAAAGCCTGAAAGATCAGCTAATTATAGAGGAACAAAATATTCGTTTATTTATCCTTCCACACACACACACAAGAGTAATTTAAATTATTTAATAAAAGGGCCTAAGAAAAATTATCTTCCTAACAGTTATGCGAAAGGTAATGGAAAAGCAATAATAATCAAAATTACTGGCTCTGGTATTCATCCTAGATATATTTATTCTACGAGACATTATCCTAATGTTAAAAGTGATTTAAATAGAAATTATAAGAAGAAACGTAATAATTTATTAAATAGGCCAAGAAACAATCCAATACCTGTTCGTTCGCATAACAACGACAATGCTAACAATGATTATGATGATTCTGAATCTTCCGAATTGTATAATAGAAATAGCAAATATACAGATAGTTTAAGTTCTAATGCATTTGCTGCATACTCCTGATAAAAAATTTATTCAAAGAACTATATTTTTGTATATTATTTAAAATAAATATTTAACTAATGTAAGCAATGGAGATTTTATTATTTGCTATCATTTGTTTATGTGTTCATATTTTATGATTATACCTACGCATATATATACGTACATTAATGTAAGCACGGAGGCGTTCTTGAAATTTTTGGTTTAGCTACAAATGCTTCTTCTTCTTTATCGCATTTAAATTCAATTACATCGGCAGCATTATCAGATAATTCGTCCCTATCATTGTTTATGTTAGTCCTATAAAATATGATAATAATATAGAATATTCTTATAATAAATATTTAACTTAATTAAATATAAAATAAAAAAAACCTTCAACTTAAGGAGGCAACAAGTCATAGGCATGTAAAATCGTGGAATTTCTATTGTCAAAAAATGTGCAAAAACTATAAAAGTAAAATGTATAATGATTTCATTATTGCTCACTCACAATGATGCAATACTGCTGAATTTTTCTAGTCCTGCAAAGACAATCCAAAATGTCAAATATATTCTCCTAGTGTATTATTATAAATATAAAAATATATAATACAATTATTTATACCTTTTTTACTTTCGTGTGCAGATTCTAAAGTCATTGAAGACGGTATCGTCATTGTACTACTTTCTCTAAAAAAGAAAAAACAATTTTAGATCATTATCAATAAACGAAATAATAAAAATATTTCATTAAAGGTGATATGATGTTTGTAATTTAATAATACATAATAAATTACAAAATAATATTTTGAATTGTTACATCATTTCACCTTAATAATTTGTATAAAATTATTGACACACTTGGAAGTTTGATTTTCAAATAAATATACTGTAACATCATCAGTCATTGCTTTTTTAAAAAGATTTTGCTTAAATGTGCCCACTTTTGTAGAATTTGGATTAATTGAGTCTTTGTCAATTCGTTTTTCTTCTTCTCCACACCGTACATTCATTGTATTATGTTTTTTAGATGCATGAGTTAAATTTGACATATTTTTACCATGAATATTGCGTGATATAATTTTGTCAATTTGTTCGTAATGAACCATATTAAATTCACTAGGTAATTTTATTGTTTGCGAAATATTTTCAAAATCATTTTTATTATTTTTATTTGAAATTAGTTTGCTTTTATTTAATTTCATTGTATTATTGTTATTATGATTTAAATAATGATTGCGATGATTCGAAAAATGTTGTAAATTAATATCAACTTTTGTTGCTTGTGATTTATGTTTGATTCTTTCTTTTTTTTCTTTCCATACGGATCTTTATTAATTTATTAAAATCAAAATATTATATAGACTTATAGTTATATGAAATAAAAATTACAATCACAGATGAGTACCTTGGAATATGTTCAAGTAATAAAGATGAACTAGTATTACTGCAAGACTGAGTATGTTTTTTATTGTTCTGTAGCGGAAGTAATTTTGCGTCTGAAGATTTAGCCAAGACTTTACCAATGGCTATAGATTCATTTTGAAATGCACTCGGTGTAATCATGTAACACGTTGACAGCAATACTTCTCCGTATAATTCTGTTCTATGATTTTTAACAGGATCGTTCTCCTCCAATTCATTTTCCAATACATCAAATTCTTCCTACAAAGTTTAATATTAATTAAAAAAATAGTTATAGTAATTCCAAGATAATACTTACATTATCATTATCAGAAATAGTTTCATCTTCTATGTCGATAGCGCATTCACGTTTGTGTACTTTCAGTATGTGTTCCAGATATTTCCTAAAATATTATTCCATAAAAAGGATTCTATTTTAACAGTAATAAATTATTGAGAATTATTATAGTATTTTCTGTATACTTCATTTCTCCAATTTTATTTGAACATAATTCTTCCAATACGGATGAAAGATTGGCATGTTCTGCTTCATTGTTTATTTGATCATTTACAAGAAAATTGTTTAACGCTCCATTAACATATGGTGATACCTAATATAAGTAATCATTTAATATATAAAAACGCAACAATAATTATTCATATAAGATTAATTTACTTACAGAAGGATGATCAATTCCCAGAAGCATTATAAGAGTTGATATGAGTAATGATGCTTTAGTAGATATTCTAATTTGAGCTTGCTTATGCAATGATAAATTCATTAAAAGAGCTGTCGCATATTTTAATCTATAAAAACTCATAGTATTACTTTCATTGTGCAGATGATAAATCAACCATTCCAACAATCCGCTATCTATCATATATAATCTTTGTTGCTTGCGCAATGATAATTTTTGTAAAGTTGATAGTGTCATATCATAAGTTAGAGAATCTACTCCATCTTGGTAGTTGTCATTGAGGCAGTTAAATATCTAACACATTTATTACATTGTAACTTCTGTAAACTTTCACATATATAAATATTAATGTAAATTAGAATACATTTTAATCAATATATTACATACCACTTTAACTACTGATGAATCCATGGATAAATAATCTCTGCCACATTGTAACGATGCAAAAGTATTTAACAATCTAGCTGCTGATTGTTGCAATGGATGCGGCATTGGAACATTTTTTGGTGTTAGTAAATATGGTAAAATTGATTTTCCATTATCGCTGGCAATCTGACCATGCAATCCTAATAAATCTCTACTTATATATTCATGTATAGATTCATCGCATTCTCCAGGTTGACTTAAAGTAATTTTCTGCAAAAATTCACCACCTTTATTACGCATGTCAATTTGAAAACATATCAAACATTTCCGTTACCCATCGTAAGGCTTGTAAGAGAAGTAATTTTGTCTTAACATTTCCATTTATTAAATGTAATTTAATCTTTTTAAAATCTAACAGCTTTGGTGATATGTTAATGATATTAAAATTAGGCTGAATATCACGTTTATTTGTATCACTGGACGGTTGTACTTTTACCTAGAAGTAAATAAAAATGTTATATACATAACAAATTTACCTTTTAGTATAATTAAGAAAATTACATACGTGCAATTCATCTCTAATGTTTTGATTAAATAAATCAGGAAATATTTTCATACAAGACTCTAACATTCCTTGCAGATCAACAGGTTGTCCTTTTACTGAATTTTCAAGAACTGCTGTTAATTCCGCAGCAATACTTAAAAGTTTATGATAATCTCCGTGTAATTTGTGAAATCGAGATTTTAATTTTTTATAATTAGAATGGACATTGTATAAATGTGATTTTGTTAATGCTAATTCTTGATTATATTGTATTAATCTTGGATTGTATCTATAAATATTTTGATGATCCATGTTGTCTACCAAATAATGCTGCGGATAATCTTTTATGAAGTGATTATTTGTCTGTGTACCTCTGAAAAAAAATTAAAAAGTTTAATGTAAAAATAAGAATTACCTACATAACAATTGTTTAGTAAAATTTGAATTCAAAAAGAAAACTTACTTTGATTCCATATTATGTCTCTTTTCGTAGCAAATATTAAGTTGTTCTTCGCTTTGATTTTCTTCTAAGAAATCAGGTACGTTTCTGTCGTTCGGTTTAATTGGTACATTGTTTTTAATCATTTTTTCCAAACTATCCTTATTAGATATTTTAGAAGGCACTGTTGAAGTAGTTGTATTGATTTCAGATATATTATTTGATTCAACATAATCACTCATAATTTCTTCTCTCTGATAAATAACCTCATTAGTATTTGTTTGATCAAGTACAAAGGCATTTTTATAAAATCTTTTTTTTAATTGCTGACATTCATAATCGCTTGACCCATCATTACACATTTTGATAATAAATAAATATTATATATAAATAAGATGTTTTGCTACATAAGGCACATGCGTATTTCCATAAGAGTTATCGTCATATAAGAAATTAATTTTACACAAAGACATTATTGATCGATAGTACTATTTTACGACGATGACAAAGGTGCGGAAAAATTTTTTTCTTTTATATAAACACGTTTTTATTGTTGTTATCACGTATCTAGTGGAAACGCTGTCCACCATTTTGAATTCGAAGCATGTACAACTGCAGCGCCACGAAAGAACAAAGTATGAACTACTAGCGTAACAATATCGTCTTCACCTGTCAATTAAAAAAATTTTAAATAATTATATTTAATTTTTAGTGTATAAACATGTGTGTGTACCTTCATAAATGCATGTATACATATATTTTAAAAAGTAGTCATTTAAGGCGTTCAAAAAGAAGAAAATCTCCAAGGTTTGTTGTTAAATCTAACAATTTGAAATACCGATGTACGTGCGAGAAATCTGCATTCATAAAATGCAATGAATGTCGAAAAAATTTGTTTTGTGTGTCTGTACGATGAATATCTTCATTTTTGTGTAATTATTTTAACGCTCCACCGCAGTGATGACTTCGAAGATAAAATTTTCCTGTAATATAAGAAGAGTGCATTAGAGAATTAAAATAAGTGTTAATTAATCGAAATAAATGCCTATTGTTGTTTAAAAGCTCCGAATATATGTTCGGAACACCGTCCTCTTCGAAATTCCCCTTCAGATTGGCACGTTGTCTTCTATGAAAGTTCTTTTATTAAATGTTGTTTATATGACTTTCCAAACGTTGCGCATATGTATAAAGGGAATAATCCACCTAGTCCCGGTAGTAACTAATGTAAAATGAATCTGGTTAGATAAAAAAGGGGACTTATGAGCTTTTATCTACTTCTGTATTTTTTGGTTGAGTGTTTACAGTTATTTATTCCCCTTTATTTGGTCTGTATGTGCATACAAAGTAAGAATTAATATAATTAATATAATTGATATAATTGTAAGTTTTTTAAAAATTATAAAACTACTATTACTAGAAATTATTCCGAGATAAAAAATTATAGATTATGATTTATGTTTACATACACATATTTTAATAATTTAATTAATGTATATAATATGATATTTATTTATTTACTTTTATTTCTGTTTAATTTTTGGCTCGTTTAAAAAAAATACATATTTGTTTCAAATATATTTTTATTCTTTTTATTATATTTTAATAATAAATAGTAATTTTATTAATTTAGTGCAATATTTAACATTTCTGATATACTAACTATTTTTTCTCTTGGCTTACCCAAATCTTTACCTCTTTGTCGTTCTACTTGGTCTATTTTTTCCCAGTTACTATACGATACTGTAGGAATATTTTTCATATTAAGAATTTTATGAAGGCCTTCAGAACCAAGTTTATTTTCTTTAACTGAAAGTTCTTTATTTATGAGTGAAGCAATTTCAAATGCATTGGTCATTGTAGATAATATTACACCAACAGGACCAGTTGCGACCCATCCAGCAGCATAAAGATTTTCTTTCACTTTTCCAACATTATTCACACGACCATTTTTATTATCGAACGGTATTGATTTATCTATTTGTATTGATCTATAACCGATGCTTCGAAAAGCAATACTGCATGATACTTTTTCTATTTCATTAGTAGGTATTGCTTTCTGCAGACTTATGTTATCTCCTTCAAGTTTATTCACCGAAAACTTGATCTTTTCAATATTTTTACAGCCAAGAAATTCTATAGGACTTCTTAGAAATATCGGATGTAATTCATTTGTAATTTTTGTATGATTAATGGATTGTTCGTTTAAAGACTTCAACATAAGTTCTGTCAATCGTTTTCTTGGTCTTGCTAATGTAGGAACAATTTCATTTATACCAGTAAAATCTTCCGCTCGCCAAAATGTTGTACAATTTTTGAGTCTTAAAATTTCTCGTAATTCTGCAATTGTGAATGCAGCTTGCAACGGGCCTCTTCGTCCTACTAATTGAACCTTACGAACTTTGCTATTTGAAAGTTGTTCCAGTGCGTGCGTCGTTATATCTGTACTCTGTAAAAGAATTGTAAGATATAAAATATTATCAAATAAATTTAAATAGTTTTTAGAAAAATCTATACCTTTAGATGATCTATAGGAGTTAAAAGAATTCTTGCAATGTCTATTGCCACGTTACCTTGACCCAATATAACTGCTTCTTCTACGTCTAAATTTATATTTAAATTTTTATCGGAGGGCAGACCATTGTACCATCCTACAAATCGGCGCCCTGATATTACATTACTTAAATCTTCTCCAGGAATGTTAAGTAATTTATCTTCTTCTGCTCCATAAGTCTATATAATAGCGAATACAATGATAACAACTGATGACAGATATTATATAACGATATACATTAAAGTTATAGATAAAATAGCTCTATTACTTACAAGCAGCACAGCATGATATAATTCTTGTAGTTGATCAACAGTAACATCTTTTCCAACATTAACATTACCAATAAATTGAATGCGTGGATTCATAGCAGTTTTATGGAATGTATTGATAACATTTTTCACTTCTGGGTGATCTGGTGCTACACCAAAACGTACTAAACCAAATGGAACTGGTAGTCTTTCTAATATATCGACTCTAATATCTTTTGATGTCTAAAATAAAACTTTAAATATTATATAAATATAATCTTTAATTAATTTGATGTTTTTTTTTTTTTACCTTTACTAATTGTTGAGCAGCATAAAAACCTGCAGGACCTGCACCAACAACACATACTTTTGGTATAATATTTTCGGTAGAAAATAAACGTATATTATTAAATATCATTTGACACTTCATTGTAGTTGTTAATTTTTATCTAAAAATGTATAAACGGACAATAATGAATATTAATGTATACTAAAAGTTTTTAGATTAAATCAAAATACTGCCGAGGCTTACACTACTATATATCCGAGCAATACAGAATTTAGATATTATGCATTCTTTTTATGATACCAAACTATACTTCTTCACGTCTCTTAAATTGGTTCTAAATCTCTACCTTTCCAGTTTTAGAAATGTAGGTCAATGCTTAATTCATTAAACATGAAGACTTTAATACTGTTTGATAAATAATTTTTGTTATAAAACCATTTATATAAAAAAATGATAGGTTGTAAATAGTTACTATCAATAGAAAAAGTCATCTTTCGTAAGTATATATATTTTATTATATAAATTTTTCTTATAAGATTTTTGTCTGATTAAAATGTATCTAACATATATTAATTCTTTCCATTGCATTATTTATGATATAATTAAGATATGTTTTAAAAATCCAATGATTGCACTCAACAATCTTGCTATAAGCTTTCCAATCTAAAAAAAAAAGAATATGTCGTCTAATCTGCATTTTTATAAAAATATATAATACACTCGTTATGTTAATATATCTTACCACATAGATGTGATATAGGAATTAAAGACAAAATAGTTTTTCCTTCTGTTCGTAATTTCTTGTCAGTTTTGACAATTTTCTCCCACATTTTAAATATGTTTGCGTTATTTTTATAATTTTTCAAGATTATTAAGCAACCCACTTTTTTGTGAGGTATCAATTCCATAGATTCAAACGTGTAATTCAAAAGGTAGAGGAGACTAATATTTAAACGTGTTAATAAAGAATAACCAATTAATACAAGGTTGTCATCAATTACAAAAGTACATAATAGCTCATAAATTTTTGAAATAAGTGTTGAATTATAATGAAGATCTGTATATTGAAAACACAATGTTATGTAACTTGGAGTTATATTTAATTCTTGTAATAAATTCACTGTATCTTCATCCGAAGGGAAACAACTTTTTAGCTGCAATTCATCTAAAATATTTTCTATTTCGTTTTGTATATTTAGAATTTTTATATTGTAAAATTTGGAATTAAATACTCTATAGAATGGTTTCCCTGTGCAGTATTCTAAAACTATATGTTTATTGGTAAACTGAAACTATAAAACAGAGAAACTCAATATTTTTCTTTGATAATAATAATAATAATAATATATTAGATTCATTTAAACAAAAATATCAATATAAAATAAACTATCAATATTAACTTACTTTATATGGTTCGCTCATTAATACTCCACAGTAAATCTCATTTATCTCATATCGATATTCGATTAAACGTTGCATTAGTGACTTGTTTGCTTTTTCACAACGCATATCATATGATTCGTCTGATTGTACTTTGACAAAATTAAAAATTAGATTATTATTCTTATTTTTCTTCATGATTTTACAGTTAAATGGTAGAGGTTGTAAGTTGCAGTAGTTCAAATATATCTTGGCAACAAGTTTTTGTATAATTTTGATGTCGCATGTGATATCATCAACTTCTTTGTTAGATGTAAAAGATATTATGTTGTTTGTTATAGCACGTGCTTGATGCTCTTTGAAAAATTGGCTACATTTGATTATTTTTTCTATAAAATTAGATGGAATATCTTCTTTACAAAACATAGCTGTATTATTAACGGTTTCATAATACTTCTGTAATGTTGGTAAATAAGGTGCTATATATTCTGGTCCTTTGAAATCTATACACACGACATAAGTTTCGGAATTTCCTTCTTTACTTGTAGCTGGTTTGGTTACATACAATGTATTAAAACAACAAGCTAATAAGTAAAGTGAACATATTGAAGTGTACTCAAAAATAGTAAATATTTTAATTAAAAAACTTCCTCCTTTATTTAATAAATGTAATGCGGCGACTATTTCACAATAATGTAACTTAGAAACAGTTGCTTCTTGTTCGGCTGGTACGTCCATACAATTAATACTTCCATCAGCAGTAATCAATAATATATTGTCATTAACTTTAGCCTGATTTACAAGGAAATTTAAATTCTTCAAGTCCATTAGATTTCCAGTGTTGTCTTCGCAGAAACACCAATGATTTAATGTATTTATAATGAAACGATCATCACTAATTGTACTAGACGAGGAATTCCCTTCGTAGTATGGATTTAAAGTAGTAGCCAACCAATTCCAATTGAAATCGGTATTTATCTTTAACCAATGGTTCAAAGATGTGACAAAAGCTCCAGGAGCTTCACATAAATGTACCGAAGTAAAACTATTATTATTCTTTTGAATTTCGTTCATTGGTACAAAGTGAAAGAAGCTTAATATTTCATAAAATTTGCACCATGCTTGCGTAGGTAATTCTGCTTCTATATTTTTCTTTACATGGTACAAAACTTGTGCCGCCTTGTTTCTTTTATTCGTATGTTTGTGCCACTTATCCAAATGAAAACTATTTAAACGATTTTTCACTTCGTTCAACTGTTCCTTACAGGTTTGTAATTCTTTGATGTACCACGGACATTTCTTAAAAATTCTATCCGGACTAGGTAAAGAATAATTTTCTTTCTCAACTATTAGAAAAGTTTTACTAAATAGTTCATTAATACAAGGATCAATTTTATTCATTAAAAAAGTTTCCTCAAACGTCATCATATTTGATTCCTTGTTATTTTACTTTTATACTTTTTATCAATAAAATAAGAGTGAATAAAATATTCATTTACTCTATTATTCTAATAAATAATATTTCATATTAATATTGAAAATATTACATAATGTCAAATTCAGATTATCTCATTTTTCTTATGTCAACAAAATTAAATAAATCTTCATGTCCAAGTGTTTTATTTACGCATGAATAAAAATATATGTACTTTTAAAATGACACGTTTAAATATTAGTCGAATATAAAATCATTATTACTGTATGGATTTTAAATACCGTTATTGCAAAGTGATATTAGGTTATATCGTGTGTTGGCCTCGGCAAATGGCTTTTTCGTTCATTTAGTTTCGCAGCATTGATTCTCACCTGTTTGTCACGTTATTAATGAACAAAAAATTCTTTCTTTAATACTATTTTGTTAATATAAAATTTATAATACTTGCTAGGAAAATAATAAATAATCTCTATACCAATTGTTATTCAACTTACACCATTGTTAATAGATACAATGGAGGGAAATTTAAATGGCTTGTAACGAGATTAAGACTGACACTGACAGTGTTTTTTCTTGTTTTTTTTTTTTTTAAGTTTAATGTTATCAATAAAAACCGTTGCGTATTATAAACAACTCTATAAATTAAAAGTATAGGAAGAGAAGAAAATTTTGACCATTTTGAATCGATATCATTGGACATATTATATAGCGCTGATATAAATTTTCTATGCAAATATTTAGATTTAAATCATATTAGAATTAGCATAAATAAATTAGGGTTTTTTATTTGTGTGTTTGAAATATCTAAAACGAAAATTGTAGTTCCAAGTATGGTCGATAGTGTCTCTTCGATCATTGTATCTCTCTTTCTCTCTTTCTCTTACACACACTTCTCTCCCTCTTTTTCACTGATTTGTTTATGTATAGGGAGTGAAAGAAAAGGGAAGAAGAATGAGAGAGAATAAAAAGCTGCGCGCGACGATCGTTCGATATAAAAGACGCGCACGTGTTTCTATACTTTCAGTGAACATTAGACTATTACTGTTCATTATTTATTGAGGATTATTATCATTTGAATATTTCCCATTTGATTGATTTGTTTTCAAGGAAAATAGAAGTATTCAATAATATTATTTGGACAAGGAAATACTTTTTAACATGTGAGTATCACATAGTGTTCCTTTTTGTTGATGATGCATCGTTGTAACTATATAAAAAGAGAATCTACGTCTTTTTAAAGTCAAGATTGCGCGAAGTGCATACATTATGTATACATTATTTATAGATTATTCAATAAATTGATTCCAAATTAATACTAGCTGTAGCGAGTAATTGTTCGTAAGGCAACTAAATTTGAATTGAAATAATAGCAACTGTTCATGTTTATGGCGTGTTCACTCAATATAAATTATTTTGTATGAACACGCAAATACTATTTTTTTTATTCATGCAAATATCTTTAAAATTATGTAACGTACTATTTACAAGTGCACTAACATTTCTTTCTATTTTTTTGGACTCAACGAAATATTACATTGAAATCAAAATTATCATCATTTTTTTTAAATAATTATTTCATTTCAGGGAAGAACGTTCGTCGATTGTCATATTTTTAAAAATAATTTATTACAATTTTATTTTATTATTTATTTTTTATTAAAATAAAATGAATACGTGTGGAGTATGTGTAAAGTAGAATTCATGAACTCGTACGATAGGAATTTAAACCTAATGATGACGCATAGATATAATCATTTACGATAAAATCCAGCAGTTTTAATTTTTATGAAAAAAAAACAAGACTGAAACAAAATAATATCTTGTCATAAATTTACCTAAATCGCATCGTAAGAACATTATTTATTAATTGCATAAATTTCAAATTGTTCAAATATCTTACGAAAATAATTTATTGTAACAATCTTTTAGCTGATATTTCCAATTAAATTTACACACACCCAAAAAAAGAAGAAAAAAAAAGTAGTTGTGAAAAATAAATCTGCGAGATAAGCATTAATAAGAACGAAGTTAAAAGCTCGATTAAATGAATGATTTTTATTTTGTTAATTTTAATTATCATTATCGATCACAGAGATGTAAAAGCGTGAAGAATAATTCGAAGAACGTTCAAAATATTGAAAAAATAAACTAAACGAAAATATATTATGCTTAATTTACAATTCGAAAAAATTTACCGTCTTACAATGGCGATAAAAACGATAAGAACTAAGTAATTGCAAGTAAATTTCCTTGTTTCATGCGTTGCATGATGTTTCTTCCTAAACGTTGCACGTTTTAAAAAACATAAAAATTTACAAATATAATGCGTTAATTTTATTAATGAATAAATTATTCGTCGACGTAGCGTTCCAATAATTTTTTATTCCGAATGATACAAGAAATCGATTCGTGTGTAAAAAATCGTAAATTTCGATTTAAAAAAGTATACCGATGACCTTGAAACATGATAAAAAAGAAATTCTCTTCTCCAGTACAGAGATGTGACCTTAGAAACAATTAAGACTTTTTCTTAACATTCTTTTCGTAATATAAAAAAATAAAAGAAATATTTGAAGTGTTTCTTTAAACTATAATAATAAATCGAATTTTTCCGATATATACTATTTAAATATAATAAATTTATATGAAATTTTTCATGAAAGTTTTATAGAAATAGATCGTGACTCATTTGTATATAATAGGCTCATTAGAATATTATAATTATGTATAAGAGACCAAAAAAAAAACATTTTTCGCATAGAGTTCATCAAATCGCGTAACTTTTTACGATGCGCTCGGTGTAGTGTCGACTGGAATCATTTAATTGACGAATCAGTGCTCTCTTTGTCGGTAACAAAATAGAAAAGGAGTCGTATAAGCGGAAATGTACTCTTGTAATATATTGTGATTGAACGAACCAGGTATACATATATCACTGTTTTAAAATCTAAGCCGTTAAGTTTCTAAATCGAAATCACTTAAAAACGCATCGAGAGTCATCACGTATGTAAATTGTTACTTTCATCTAATACAAACAGAAAAAAATAAGAAAGAAATCCTATATATTTTCTCTGTACATCATTTAAATTAATGTCTTATTTGTTTATTGATTTTTTTCTATAGTAATTTTTATCATTTTAGGATGTTAGGTGTTTCTTGTACCAGCATTGGTCTAGCGCTGGTTCTGCTATTGGTAATAATATGTACTTTAAACGAAGCATTCAGATATAGAGCGAAATTTCTGATCTTTGGACTGGAATGTTTATTGTTGACAATTATTTTTTTGCCATTTATGCTTTTCAATATAAGATCTTGGAAGAACGCGTTGTAAGTAACAGTATTTAATTAATACGATTGACGTATACATGTCGTATGTATTATTATATCACAGTTAATTAATTATACTTTTAAAAGTAAAAGAAAAAAACAAACAATACTTTTAAGGATCCTATTTTTTAATATATATTTTTAGGGTACCCGCTTGGCTTTTAACTAAATCATTTTATAAAGTATTAGGAATAGATTACGAGGTACGTGGAAAAGAAAATATCATTCACGATTCTGGTTGTATCGTTTTGATAAATCATCAGAGTATGTTGGATTTGGGAGGTAAGATTATGTTCACAAAGAAATTCAACAAAAAATTATTCGTAATATTAATCGTATTGTACGATCATTAACTAGTATTGGCAGAATTGTGGCTAGTTATGGATAGATGTACGGTTATATCAAAGAAAGAAATTTTATATTTTGGACCATTCGGTCTTGCTGCATGGCTATGGGGTACAATTTTCATTGACAGAAAAGATTCGGATAAATCGCGTGATGCTATCAATTCGACGTGTCAATACATACAAGATTCTAAAGTAATTATCTCATTACGAAATTATTCTTATTTATGTTTAATAATGTGAATACGTTAGACTCGATATATGTGTATGTATATTTGTTAATATTTCACATTTTTATAGATGAAGGTATTATTCTTCCCAGAAGGAAAACGTCATAGCAATAATACATTGATACCTTTCAAAAAAGGACCTTTTCATTTAGCTATAACGTCGCAAGTACCGATTCTACCGGTGGTCGTATCAAAATATTACTTCTTGCATAGTAGATCAAAGAAATTTAGTTCCGGTACGATGATGTTTTTTATTTATAATTTTTTTTATGATCATTATAGTTTAATAATCTCATATACCCCTTTTGTTCTTATACCAGGTACTAGCTATATTACAATTTTACCACCAATTCCTACAAAAAATTTGACCAAAGATAACATACAAGAATTGATGGATAAATCATACGAGGCTATGAATACAGCGTTCGTTCAAAGTTCACAAGAAGCTCTTACAAAACACATGGAGTGTTTACAAAACGATTAACGCATAATTATTATTTTCAGTGTTATTCGTATGTAATTTAATTGCATACTTTACTTGAAATTTTCTCAATACATTTATTTTTTATATTCACAATCTCTTCCGATTGCATAAAAGGAGTAGAATTAATAATGAACGATATTATATTATCGGATAATGTACCTGCACGAGAGAATATCACTCCTTTATTTTCTATCAATTATAAATTATATTGTTAAGAAATTTTTTATTAAAGAATTCTATAAGAATTATACTATAAGAGAGAGAGAGGGAGAAGAGAGAGAGAGAGAGAGGGAGAGGAGAGAGAGAGAAAAGCGCTTTAGACATTATTGAAAGAGTTAATATCAAAATCTATTTAAAAAAAAAAAAAAAAATAATAAAAAATCACGAATGTTGTTCAAAAAACGACGTTTTCATGATTTGAACGTCGCTTATTTCCATGATTGTTTCTTTATATAGTCGAAAAAGAAATCTATGAAACGATGTATGAAATATATAATATGAAAAGTTATACGCTTAGAAACATCTTGCTTTAAATAAGGAAGAAATATTTATCTATCGATCCGTCTTCTTAAAATAGACTTATCATATTATGGTATTATTATTATTACAATCTATCGGCGAAAGTAGCGAGAGCGTTAATAATATGTATGCTTTGAATATGAATTTTGATATTTATAAAATATCCTATTCTTCGTTTGAAAGAAAGGATAATAATATTAGAAGCGGTGTATATCGATATCGAGTAAATATTTTAAAATATCTCAATTATGTGACAAGTTTTTTTTTCTTTTTTTTTTTTTTAACAATTAAAGCCTTTAACAAATTGGCTATTTTACACGTCCGTATTAAAATATCATTTATTTCGTAGTATATTATACATTGGTTGTCAGTCATTGTCGCATATTTTTCTAATGGATTTGCCTTTCAAAAGTTTGATAATACAAAATTGTTTCTTAGTATGCTATGTACATACGTGTGTGTTACCGTATATGTATAATACTATTCTATCGAATAATTATGTACAACACACCATACCACTTAGACGTTTTCTTATTTATATGATTCTTATTAGGCGACGCACGATCATTTATTTGGCGTTTTTATTTGTATTCTTTAATCTGTGCTATTATATATATAATATATATATATAATAGATGTATGTACATACGTAAATACACATACTCGCTCCCCTCCAATACAAATAAACAAAAAAAAACACTTTTCCAAAACACGCAACAGCCGCCACGAATCTAATATTAACATAAGATGTATAACAAACAAATAAAACAAAATACATACAAAGATGAATGTTGGCTCGTATTGCGGTATAAAAAAAAAAAAAAGAAACAAAAAAGATCAATATGACTAAAGTTCAAGTATACTTAAAATAATCTATTATGTATCACACCGCTTTTGAATTTGTTGAAAAATTCGTTGTTATATTATTTATACAAATAATCTAAATTATCTTGTCTAAATTATATCTTAATCGAAGCGCTTAATATAAAAGGAGAAAACTAAAATGGCATCGATACGAAAGTATTTCATGGTAAATAAATTAGCACGGTGGGGAGGACGGGAGTGGGGGGGTTAAACAAAGAAAAATAAAAAAAAAACAAAGACGGAAAGAGTAGCATATTTGTTTAATTAAAGGGGAATCGAAATTCTATCACTCGAAAATAAATGTGTTTTGGAATGCTGTAGGGTGCTGCTCTCATTTCTTTTTTTTTTTTTCTCCGTTAATTATCCTCCGTAGCACCGAAGTAAGTATTATACCTTCCTAATAAAACTTGTTTCTAATATCAAGTTAACCGAGGTATAATCAAGGTATTCTTCTTTCTCCTCATAGAAAATTACTAACATTTTCCTATTTACAAATAAAAAGACCATATTTTTGTAAACCCATGCATCTTATAGGATAAAGAAATGTTTATCTTATTATTGCGATCTTACAGATAAGGTATAATAATATTGATATGAAATACCGATAAGTAAAGATTAAAAATGAGAAAAAAAAAGGAAGAAAGTGTACGTAAGATTATCATTTGGATTTAATATCTTGGTGTATAAAAAGAAAAAAAAAAACAAAAAAAGAAGAAGAAGAAGAAAGAAAGATAGAAGTTACGTTCGATTTATCTTCAATTGATTATTCAAAGTTATTAATAATACTGATCGTTCTCCAACGACTCACTCCTGACATTTCTTCGTATCCTTTGGAAGCACGCAAAAAAATAACGAAATCTGTGTGTTACCGATTCGATGATCTCCGGAGGAAAGGGTATGCGTAACTTGGATAACAATTTTCCTTCTTGCATCCATGATAAAAACTATTAGGTTTAATCGTATCTTCTTCGTATTTGTCCTCTCCGTTATCCAACAGAGTTCTATCCATTCTTCTCATTTCGGTGTCCATAGGGGAGAGGATTAGTCCTTATTCTCTCCTTGAACGGAAGTGCAACGGTGTCCTTTGCTGATGCTGCATTATCTCAGTTTAGTCGGCCAGAATACGGTCTATCAGGAATTCGGGGAGGAATATTAGGTACGGGACGCCTACAACATACATATTTTATGAATACTTGTTCTTTTTCTAACAATTTAAGCGTGACAGAGAGAACAACGAAAAATTCAAGAAAAATTAAAATAGAAAGAAAGACAGAAAGAAAGAAAGATAGATAGAAAGAAAGAAAGAAAGAAAAAAATATAGTTAAAGAGGGAGAGCCGTATAACGATGCTTACAATTACAATTTGGTATTAATATTTCGTTGAAAAAAAGAAAAAAAAAAACAATTACAATAATTTATACAATTAATACTATCACTCAAAGTATATGGCTTTCATTGTTATTATTTGTTAACTTAATATATTTAATTATTAAGCTTTGGGATAATCGCGTTACAGCAGAGATAGCAATAAACGTTAGTAATAATGAAAAAATAAATAGATAAGGTTTTAGATTATAAATAATAATAATTTCTAAAAATGATTTAACTATAAAGGCCATGATAAATTTATAAATATCATCGGCGTGTTGCCTTTTTTAAAAAAAAGGTAGTGTTACTAATACAGCGACATTTCATTCTACAAGACTCTATCTATGTAATTAATGAAAAAGAAAAAAAAAAAAAGATAAGTTTTTTAAATACGTAACATGCGAGACTAAAAAAACAAAAAACACACAAGCTAGACAAGTGCCATTGAAAGGACTGTCTTACTTTCTTTTTTCTTAATTTTCTTAGAAAAAATATTGTAATTATCATCAATATGAAAGTAATTTCACGATAATCGAATAGGTTTGATCAGAGAGTCCTTTCAAACTGATTAAAATTATTACGAAGTTACTACATTCACTGTTAATATTACTTCGCGAACATTACATCCTGGAAGCTTGGAAAGAAGTATTTGATAATTTTGAAGTATTGAGGTTTTACGATGAAAAAAATGCACACCGAACGCGAATACGCATCCCTGCATACGGGGGGAAGAAGAAGAACTGAATAGTAATTGGTATATTTTTTAAATTTATAATCATTTAGGATATTTTATTATGGTTGTAAGTTTATCTTTTTTTGTCTTTTTAAAAGATTTTGTTCGTACACGTAGTAGTAAATAGAACCCCCAGCAGAAATGCGTGCCTCAACGCTCACATAAAACCAACTTTTGTTATTTTCTTTCTTATCCTTATTCAATTTTATAATATATCTATATATATATATTTTTTTTGTCTTTTTTTGGTTTCTTTTTATAATATATTATCTCCTATATACACATTTATATTTCAATAAAATTGTGTTACGTGTGGAGTGTGTTAAATTCTCTTTTATCCGCGTGTATTTTTTGTTTTTTTTTCTTTTACGCACATATACATCGTTACAGTAGAATATTTTCATATAATATCTTTTTGTCTTTCCTTTTTATTTTTTGTTTTTGGAAAAAACATTAACCAAGTAACCTTTTTTAATTAACATTCGTTAGATTTTCCTCGCGATTAACGTTTTATCATTTTTATATTTCGTAAAGAAAAATATTTATAAAAATTGCAAGTTTTAAAAGAATTGGAAAGTAAGAAAAAAAAAAAAAAAGAAGAAATCAACTGTTTTACGAAATGTTGATTTGTTCCATTTATTCTTTTTTTTTTTTTTTAAAATCATCTTCGAAAGGTTACTTCGCCATTTTTGTTAACCGATTATAATATTTGTCATACAAATCATATAGAATTGATTTATTGACCGATCTGTGATCAATTTTTCTTTATTTTCACGACATTCCTCCTAACGTTATTGCACATAATCTAAACTCTACAGTATAAGATTACGTGTGAATGTGTGTGTAAGCATATTATTATTATTATTATTATTCTATATATTATAATAGAACGTGTAGCAAAGAATTTCTCGCGTCTCTGCAAGTGGCGGCTGTAGTTCTAATTTTTTCTTTTCTTGTATTTAGCATTTTATAGGCATTTTTTTAAAAGTTATTATTTTTAATTTTATAATTTTCCTTACGTTTACTTATTTTCTTAAACGATAAGATTAAATTATTCGTTAAAAACAAGAAGTTAAACTTATAATTAAAAAAACAATACATGAATAATAATAATTAAATAAAAAAGTTAAGTAAGCGGTATTATCAATCCAGTTTATCTTCTCGTTAGCAGACTATTTTTGATCCTAAACGATGAATTTAGAAATCAGTTAGTTCTGAATAATCAATCAGAAGGTATTAAACATTTTTTGAAATTCTTGTTTATTTATTTCAATTGAAAATATCTAAGTTATCGTTAGTGCTATGAGACATTTGTAGATTAGTTTTCTCGAGGCAATCATACTAATAGTAAGTGCTGCTTTACTATCGTGTAACACATCTAACGATCTTATATAATATTTGATTCCGTGCATTAAGTAATTTCTATTTACGATTTTCTAATTTGCTATTATAATAATCATAATAATAATAATAGCACTCTCACGTTTTCATTGCTGATTCTAAGCCAATATATTTGTCGTTCGGGACAATTCAGTACAATGCACAAGAAATATTCTAATTCAGGTCTCACACATTCGTTTATTCAAACGAACATATTTGGTCATTAAAAATGCTATGTCAAAAAAATGTATTAGGTTTAAATATTAAAAAATTTGAAAAACGTTTCTCGAATCGATATATCTCATAATTAGAATTCTTATTTTCTGGTTGTTTTTTTTTTTCGTAATATAAGCTATAAGTAATTCATATATAATCCGAAGGAAGACAAGTAGAGGGTTCGTGTTTTTCATTTTGTTTTTTTCATAATATATCTTTTGGATAATTAATTACTCCATTTTCCCTTATGCATTATTATTAATAATATTACTAAAATTTTTGGTCAAATTAAATATAGAATATTTTGGCAATTGGGCGATTCGTATTCGAAGTTTAAAAATTGATGTGATGCGAGAATTCTTTCGGTTAGTTAGAATACATTTTCCTTTGTTTGTTATCATTTTGAATTTAAATATATAAAGAGCTGTTGGTTGTATGTAAATCCCATTTTCTCATGAAACTTATATTAATAAATTATCATATAAATTATTGATTAAAAAAAAAATCAATTATTATTTGATTGAATTAACACATTTTAAATGTCTATAAAAATGTATTCTTTTTTTTCTTCTAGAAATTGTCTTATATATTATTTATTATATTCGAGCTAAGTGGAAAAAAGAGATTCTCATGTTTAAACGGAGAACTCTAACGAGTATTTAAATTTATTATAATAAATTTTTTTTAAAGCTATAAAAAATTAAATCCACTAAGATAAATTATGAATTAACGAGGAACACGTGCAATGATTACACGTGTCGCATTTGATATGTTCCAATCGAAATACTAGAGAATGTAGTCTTTAAAAGATATTTAATAATTTTACTTCGACTTTTTACCACAAATTTTTTAAAATAATAAATGTGATTCGTATTAATAGAAAATAACTTGCAATATCGGTAATTAAAAAGGACGATCGATGAAATGGATGGCAAGAATTAAAAATAGTAATAATAATAATAATAATAATAAAAATAAATGATCACATAGAAATAATCGAGATAATATTCTTCCTATTTAGATTACGTTCTATTCATCATTTAGACGTTTTTATAATCCTTGGAATAACGTTAAACTGTACAAGAGCATTATAATAATACTAATAATGGTTGCATTCAAAAAAAACAAATATGTTAGGTTTGTTTGTTTCCTCCTGTTTTGTTAACATTGTTCATTTTCTCTTATCTCTTAATATTTTCTCTTAATAATATAACATATATGATATTCATTCAGAGGTAATAATATTTAGTATGTATAGATGTGTTGGTGTGTGTGTGTTCGTACGTATTGCTCATAACGATGCATTTATATACGAGCAGTTTGAAGCATTAAAAATACATAAAAGCTTGTAGAATTCCGATGTGCTTCGGCTTTACTCGTAGATGTTTTAAACAGCTGTGTCCCAGTGAAATGTGTCAGTTAATTTTGCGTCAAATAATGTCAAAATACATCGTATAATTGACATTAAAAAACTCGACACATTTAAAAGATGACGCACCACGTTATATATATTTTATCATTAGGCCTATTATACATTGACATTTAAGAACGACATAAATTCGATGTCAATGCGTACGAATTTGTAATGCGACAGATAAATAGATAGATAGATAGATAGATAGATAACGAGATATTATTATTTCAACATGGTAATTTGTAATTTTTGTCATTGTACAAAGTCCAAAAATATTCGTAAGAGATATACCGATATAATAACAACGGCCGAAGCACATCATACGTTCTTGTGAAAAAAGCGGATCGTGTGTTACTTACAGAGAAAATTATCTTTCTTTTTATATATACATATTAATCATCAGATGGCAAGCGTCATCTAAGGAGCATAAGAAACAACAAATATTTCTAAATATAACAGTGCTCCCCTTGTAATGATCGCTTGCTATGTGATGCGTGTACACACGTGCATATATACAAATATATATATATATATATATATAATATGTATATATATACACGTACATACGCGTAAAATATATGTATCACTTAATTATATTATAACGATTATATCTTATCATATTCGCAATCGAAAATGGGAATTCATTTTTATTTTCATTATTTATTCATTTATTTATTTAATATTTTTAGACTAATCTCTCGAAGGAAAGATCCGCGACTCAGGATTTTCATGCAAAATCCTCGAAGTGCGTTCTACTACCGCTATATCACATCCTATTTCTGAGTCACGTGTTTTTTTATCTTTTTATTATTTTTTTAATTTATCATTATATATCATTATCAATATCATCTGCGGTAATAATTTCATGTGAATTCATTTAATTATCGTGTCGCACGGTTACCATAACCAACCATATTCTCTGCATGTATCACATCAAATCAACCGCCCACCCATTCGCAAATATTATTATTAATAAAGTGTGGTGTACGCTGTGGGATGTGGAGAAAGTGAAAGAAAAAAAAAAAATAGATAGAAAGACATTAACAGAGAAAATAAAGAAAATTTCAAATCGTGCGAATCATAAGGATGACGATTTCAATGTTCTAGGTTCGTTCGTTTAGTCGAATAATATCTATTGTAATAACACGTTTGAAAGATATTCAACTCTTTCCAACAGCATGACATTTTCAATTTACGTGTACTCTTATAATGAATTTTTAACGTATCCCCTAATAATAAATATATATATATATATATATATATATATATATATGTATA